GCTCTCTCCATTTTAAGGAAAAGAATACTCTTTCTATATTAATATAAATTTCATTTTAATTTATACACATTTAGGGGAAAAAAATACCATATATGTTAATTAATAATCAATATATTATATATTGTTGATAAATTTTATTTAGTACAAATTGGCATTTACTAAAATTTACAAACTAAAATTATACACTTTTTCCAAAACGGAAATGAATTTTTTTTAAATTATATCTTAGATATCAATTTTTATTTGAAAAATTATATTGTATATATTTTAATTTGTCCTAATATTTTTCATTTTTTATAAAAAGATTCTTTCTAAATTATTGAAACGATTTTTTTAAAAGTTCTATGTGGACAAAATCGTTCAGATTTTTTAATTTATAGATGTAGAACGTAACACTGCAGAAGCATTTACTATTTTTTCTTTGAGGCTTTTCAGATTTTGGAAGAGTTGATTTCAAGATGAAGTGTGTTCGAGATTAAGCTTTTCTTTTGCGAGGAGATAGTCAGTCTTTAATCGATAGATGGTTGAGACTGGTTTACGAGTATCCATTTATGAAAGCTATAAATCTTTTAAGCATTTTTCCAATCGGAAGTCAAAGTTTCTATACCTTGAACCTAGTTTTATGTCGAGCACACAATCTCTTGCAAAAGATTGCTTTGAAATAGTTTATGTAATTTGTTTCTTTTCAGTTTTGTTTTCTTTCATGTTGGTGTTGTAGCCAATTGAGCATGTTCCAAGCCCTTCGCCATGTCTTCGAATCTTTTGGAGATGTTTAGTATCTGTTTGGGCAAATTTTAATCGGTTCTAATGAAAACAGTTTTACGGACCGATGCTTGAAGAGATACTTTATTGATGCGTAATTGCTTGGATTACATCATTGAAAACACAATAAATATGAATATCTAACAAGAATCGAATGAGAATCCTCCTAAAGATTTTGCTTGCGAAGATCTTTCGTGAAGACTAGTCTTAAAGCTTGTCTTTCCGCCATGGTCTGTTTTTATGTTTTGTCGCTCTTAGGGTTTGGATTCCCCTTTTCTCTTTGTGTTAGATCTCTATTTATAGGTCCACATCAACCCCTAATTTCCTCTTGATTTATATAAAAATAATGATGTGGCAATACCACTATATAGACATAATCAGTTAGGGGATTTATTGTATCTAACAATATCTAGATATATGTTTGGAGCTTATGTTTGTTGATACATTTATTATGTTTTCCGATTCTTCGGGAGAATCGTGTAAGTGTTTAGGCTCAGTCTTTCAGCGTTAGTTATGAGGGTCTTACTTTTTCCGTTAGCCTATTTTATCTCGTTTTAGCGTTTACCTTTTTAGCTTCAGAAAATTTAATATGTCAGCTTATG